CCCCAAAACCCCAAAACCCCAAAACCCCTTGTATCTAAACATAAAAATAATATTGTAGGATAAAATTAAATTAGTAGAAAATGGAAAGCTTATAGTGCTAGATATGCAAAATGAAGTACAATCTCAGTCAAAGAAAACCTGTAGTCCTTGAGTGTGGAGATTAACTTTGCGAGAGTTGTCTCAAATCATTGGTGATGCCCCAAGATCCTGAGCATTTTAAATGTCCTTTTGATGAGGAAGAACTTGACTTTCCAAAGAGATTTTTATATAACAAGTAATTATTGAAACAGCTAGAGAAAATAAGTGGTAACGATGACAAATTATGCATTCTTTGCGTTGTTCATGAAGATCGTGAGTGTGGCTTTACCTGTTCAAAAGAAAATAAAATGCTATGCAGTGATTGTTTATTTGATCATTTTGATCACAAAGATAAGATCACTAAAATTGAGTGGGATTAAGTGAGGATTAAGCTATAAGAAAAATTGAATACTATCGAAAAAATGCAATATGATGTGAGCGTTGGAGCTAAATGGATTAGAGACATTACAACCAATGATCTTATCTTAAATTCCTCTGATTATGAGCAAACTTATGCTAAAATATCAAAATTAACTGATATCATTGAGCTTGCATTATCTGACAAGGAATAAAATATTGAAGGCTAAAATGACAATATCAATTAAAAGATTAAATCAGAATCTCCTCAGATTCAAGTTAAAAGACAAGGATTCTTATCAGAATCTCAAATACTTAGTAAAGATGGAGAGTTTGATTACGTTAAATCCTTATTCAAAGATTCAAAGCCCTATTCAAAATTGTTGTATAGAGGAACAACAGATGGAATGTACTGTCATATTTTCCATGCTAAATGTGACAACAAAGGACCCACAGTAACATTAGTAAAAAGTCATCACGGGAAGATTATGGGAGGGTTTACTGAGATATCATGGACATGCCCTTCTGAGCAGAAATTACTCTTTGACAAGAGAGCCTTTGTATTCTCTGTTACTCATAAAACCAAGCATCCAGTTGCCCAGATAGTTGGTTACTCAATTACTCATGATCCTGAATACTTGCCAGTGTTTTGTGGAGGATTTGGAATCAGCAGCAACTGTAAAATTTCAATGAGATCAAATATTGGAATAAGTAATTTGGGAGCAATTTACAGTTGCCCTCCAGGCATGAAATATCTTGAGCCCTAGACATAGGCTTATCTCGGTGGCTCTTATGAATTTATTGTTGATGAGATTGAAGTATTCAGTGTTTATAACTGAGAGATGAAATTCAAATCTTATTCAAGCATTTATTTCTTAATTTCTTACCATGACTAATTAACATCAGAATTTGGGGTTTTGGGGTTTTGGGGTTTTGGGG